GAGTTCGACTTCATTTATTTATGCATTCATTCACCAACTTTCACTGACAGCTACTCAGTGCAGGCCATGTGCCAGGGGATGGATGCTGTCCCTGACCTGGAGAGGTCACAGCAGGGGTGCAATAGCAAGGACACATGCCAAGGGCTGAGGGGCACAGAGGCAGCACCCTCACCAGCCTGCAGTGGGGGTTGGGGGGTAGAAGGCTTCCTGGAGGAGGGACCAGGGTTCCCAATTGCACAGCTAAGTCATGTCTTGCTTGGAACCAGGAGAGGGGAGGGAGGCTCCCCTTAGGACGTGTCCCTAGTTCCTGGGTAGAGAAGGCGACTCTCTGGAAGTCCTACTATAATTACCCATTTTCTTGACTAGATGCCCCACCTACTTTTTTTTTCCCCTCCTTGAGATGGGAGTCTGGCTCTGTTGCCCAGACTGCAGTGCAATGGCATGATCTTGGCTCACTGCAATCGCTGCCTCCCAGGTTCAAGCAATTCTCCTGCCTCAGCCTCCCAAGCAGCTGGGATTAGATGTGCGCCACCATGCTCAGCTTATTTTTGTATTTTTAGTAGAAACAGGGTTTCACCATGTTGGCCAGGCTGGTCTCGAACTCCTGACATCAGGGGATCCACTCGCCTCGGCCTCCCAAAGTGCTGGGATTACAGGTGTGAGCCACTGCGCCTGGCCTGGCCTGCCCCACCTACCTTAAGTTCAGGGAGAAGCCACCTCCCCAGGACCCAGCCCCAGGCCTGCACCATAGATGCTCAAAGACTTGAAGGAACTGATTAATAATTCATTTTAACCACAGAAATTTGCCTAGGCTTGAGCACACTGTGGGGACTCAATAGATTTGGAGGCCTCCTCTCTTCTAGGAGGCCTGCTTCCTGCCCTGATGAATCCCTACCTAATTTCAGTACAAACTGAGGAACTTGAAAAACATCTGTGCACTGGGACCTCCCCTCACAGGAAGGCTGACAGCAGCACAACTCAGTCAGCAGCACATTCAGGAGGTGCTCAGTGGGGAAGCAGGAGACAGAGGCGGCACTAACAGGGCCCACTCCAGGCTTGTCACAGCCACACATCACAGCACTTTGCGTTTTGCCACAGCAGAGAAGCTCTGAGCTCAATCCCTGCATCTCAAAAGTGCATTTATGATTAAAATCATGCTCGACATGAAGCCTTATGATGTGCAGTTTAAAAAGAGAAACGGGTCCAAATCAGCACCAACAGAGCCCCCCAGGGGGCTCCAAGACGCCCCAGAGATAGCAGGAGGACCCCATGTGCACGTTCATCTCTAAGGAGGGCGGTGGATGCAGCAGCAGGGGGCTGAGCCCAAAGGCAGCAGGTGGGGCCTCTCGTTGTGTGACCCTGGGCAGGCCACTCCCCTACCCCTGGTACCCTCACCTGAAAAATGGGACAGCAACACAATGAGATGACAGAACCTGTCTAGAATATAAGGGAAAGAATGAAAAGGTCCATCCCAAGGGCAGCCTGGAAGGGGACAGGCGGTGGTGGGAGGCTGGCTGCCTCTGGAAGACCTGTCCTAGTGGAATCAGCTCCCACCCCTGCCCTGCCTTCCAACCCCTGAACCACCAGGCAGTAGACACATTCCCCTGGGAAACAGAATTTGCAAGGCAGGTGGAAAGAGCAGCACTCGCACTGGCTGTGACTGCTGAAAAATGCACATTGGCCCTTCTCAAGGACTGAAAGGAGATTTAGAATCACATTTAAAATTAACCTCTGATCCCCTTCCCGTAAAACTGAAGATCACCCTCTAACAGCCCTAACAAACAGGCTCCAGCCGTCTCCTGACCCTAACCCGGTGACTGGACGCAGCGAGGCCATCACTGAGGTTCCGCAGGGTGGAGGCGGCCAGGCTGGCTCACTGCATGAGGTGGACGCTTGCCGCCTTGCGGATGAGCCGCTCAGTCAGGGGCGAGTTGGGCTTCAAGGCATCACGCTCCATCAGAAGGCTCCTGTGGAAACAGACATGGAGGTTCTCTTGCAGAACATTCTAGAGGGATGTGGGGCCTGGTGGTCCTTTGGTCCCAAGGCAGAACACAGGCAGGCTGGACTGCGGCACTGAGGGAATAGCAAGGGCCAAGGTCCAGGGGCAGGAGGCCTGGTCTCAGTTTGGAGAGAGGTAAGGATGGGAGGGCACAGACCTCCAGTGCAGGAAGCCACACTCAAGATGGGGCAGAACAGGTATGAGTGGGGAAAACCCAGGTTGAAAGAGAGAAAGCCCAGGTACACTTTGAGGTAAAGACCCTGCTGTGAACTGAATGTCTGTGTCCAGGTTGAATGTATATGTTGAAGCCCAAATGCCCAAGGTGATGGTATTAGGAACAAGGCCTCTTGGAGGTGATTAAGTCATGAGGGTGGGGCCCTTGTGAATGGGATTAGTGCCCTTATAAGAAGAGGTGGATGTGGTGGCTCACCCCTGTAATCCCAGCACTATGGGAGGATGAGGCAGGAAGATTCCTTGAGCCCAGGAGTTTGAGTTTACAGTGAACTGTGATCACACCACTGCATTCCAACCTGGGTGACCAAGACTTTGCCTCTAAAAATATTTTAAAAATTTAAAAAGAAAGAAGAGACGTGAAAGAACTGGCACTCAAAGGAAAGGTCATGTGAGGACACAAGAAAATAGCTGTCCACAAGCCAGGAAGAGAGGCCTCAGCAGCAACTGAACCCAGCCAGGCCTTGATCCTGGACATTCCAGCCTCCAGAACCATGAGACAATGCATGCCTACTGTGCAAGTCGCCCAGTCCGTGGCACTGTTTTTTTTTGTTTTTGTTTTT